TCTATATATATATATATCTGTGTGTGTGTGTGCGTGTGTGTGTGTGTGTGTGTGCGCGTGCGTGCGTGTGCGTGCGCGTGCGTGCGTGCGTGCGTGCGTGCGTGCGCGCGTGCGTGCTTGCATGCGTGCTTTGTTGCTGGTTTCTGCATATTATGCCGATTGCTGTGGCAAGGTGCAAGAGGAGTGCAGCATAAATTCCAAACAGCATGAGGACCAAGGTCTGCAAATGGAAATACCCACCTGTGCAAACATGCCGTGAAGGCTACCGGCTACCAGCCAGCAAAGGATTTCTTTGATGGCGCCGCTCTCGCTACGACTTGGCGCCTCCAGTGTCAACGTTCATTGGGAAGGTCTTGGACTCGGTCGATCTGATCATCACACCCGTCCGCATAAGACTGAACCCGACCTCATAAAGAGCGTGTCGCGCGAACAACATCGAAAGACACGTCAATCTTGGCACAAGCGATATAGCAAGCAGTCATACCGCTGAGAAACTGACGACATTGTGGGTGAATAAATCCATATTGCCGTTGTAGCTGATCCTGCGCAAGACGCGAAGTCAAATCGCCACAGAACTGCTTTTTATCTGGAACAAGTCCGCAGATCCAAATTGAAGCAACCAGTCCAGTCAAAGACCATGGAGGCAGAATTTTCACTGAACCATCTGTCTGCATCAAGTAGAGAAAGCATCTCCTGGCACCTGTCAACCGATGCTTGCGAGATGCTTTTGTACTCTTCGCAGTGACATGCACACAAGTAGGAATTATGGGCGTGGCTCGGCTGCCGTGACACCCAAGGAAAATGCCTGTTGTGACGAATCTCGGTGGGGTTCTTGCACATGGGCATGGCATCATCTAGAACTGGGCGGAGCACCAGGCCACCCAACATTCGAAACGGCCTTCAGAAGTGCTTTCACTGAGAAACCTCACCATGTGCTGATGCAACCGAAGCACCCCAGGTCGGAGGGCACATCGTACTGAAATTTGAAGGTCTCCCTGAATCAATGCACGCTCAAATTCAACAACAGCATCTCTGACGGCAAGGATTCTTGGGGCATCTGCGGCAGCTGGGAGGTGAGGTTCACGGCCATGGACAAGCTCGCAGTGTCAAGAATCTGCCCATCGGCAGTTCTGCACCTTCGTCGGATGCGTGTCGGAACAGCCTTCTCTGAGGGTGATATTAGTGCTGGCAAGGGGCAGCTCGTGTGAAAAAACGTCAGTGCACACCTTGGGAAAGCTACCCACCCAAACCCATGTGTCTGCGCGAACACTCTTGCAGTTGTTTTCAGCACGCTGCCGAGTTCCAGCATTCGACATTTGGCGTTCTCCGCAAAGTGGGTGACCTGCAGAAAGAGTGATTCTCCAATGCAAAGAAGCAGACGACAAACAACTCTTGAAAACTCGATAAACAAATTCTGAAAACTCGATATAAATGGGAGTGCTGCAGCACTGCGTGGTTTGTAATTGCAGCCAGCTGCAGGTCACAGTCATGCCCGTCATGATGCTGCGATTCACTTCGAGGTGATGGTGGTGGACCCCGGTTTTGTCTTTTCAGTGTGCAGGGCACTGCCCGTTAAATCTCAACAGGTTCAAGCAAGCAAACTCCACATGCAACAAGTGCAAGCCAGGAGAATCTATCAAGGGCTTTCGGCGGATTCGGTGCGAACGCAATAGGAAAACTAGGAAGGCAGGGGCCATAAGCAAATTTCCTCAAGCCTAAGCCTGTCTTTGATATTTTTGATTGACAACAGTTTCTAATTAAACAATGTCCGCAGCTATCGTGTGTTCCAGGTGTTCAGCCCTGTATAAGCCCGAAACCGCGATCGGTAAATATTGGGCCTCCAAAGCCTTTCAGGGACTGGCAGGGCTTCCCAGGCCTCCCAAGGATTCCCGTGCCTATGGGTGCGAAATAAGAGACCCAGCCAACTTAACGACTCACAGAACGACTACAGTCGGAGACAGTGCCAACAGAAAATGCGAAAGCCGTGGTACCCTATCATGAGCACAACACTACGTGTTTTATGCTCACAGCGAACGGTACGAAACATCTACAGTATGCTTTCTGAAAACTCATGGCGAGAAAATGCATCTTGCATTCACGACGCCAGTCTTCTTCTACACACCGACAGGAAGCCTGCAAATCCCTCTCCCTGCGCACAAGCGCGCCCTGCATGGTCTTTCTTCCGGCCCCGTACACTTCAGGACGTCCCTCTTTCTTTCCCTCCCGACGCATGCGCAGGTTCCGTGTTGGAGTGGTAAAAGCATGTAAAAGCTTCGGGACATGGCCTGAGCCTGATCCTCACGACGTGTGCCACTTCTTCAACACAGGAGGGTCGACGAGAGTCTGCCCCCCACACAATGTCGCACACCGGGCCCTCCTCCTCCTCCCTCCCTCGCCCTCCCTCCCTCCCTCGCCCTCCTTCCCTCCCTCTCTGCGCTTCCCCCCCAAGGTCCTCTGGTCAGCAGGCTGTCCGCTTCGTCCTCATCCATCTTTTTGCGCAGGTCACACGGTCGCCCCGCGCTGGTAAGCTGCCCTGTGGCCACTTTGTAGCACGTGTCCCCGCTGTCGTGGGGTTTGTGATTGTGGCAGAAAGGCCTTTGTAGGCATGCTTTGCAAGACACCCCTGTGTCACGAAGCCTCTCTGCTAGTTTGCACTGCTCTTCCCACGTAATGTTGTCTTTCGACGGTTTGGCAGAGGGTTACGCTGTGGTTTGGGACTTCTTTTCCTCTTCTCCCCTTTGCCGAAGAGCTTGCCATTGTGGAGGTCAAGGTACAGGTAGTGCAGGCCGGTTTCCACCAGTTCCACAGTGATGTACTACTTTATGCCTCTTCCCTTAATGGCGGGCCACCCTCCAAAGAAGGGGCCGCGGTCAGGTTCCGAAGATAGCGTGGGAGCGAAGGGGCCTCTTAAACAAAATGGCGTCGGCACGAGACTCAAACGCCGCTTGGGAGCAAGCAAGCAGGCTCCCTGAAGGCACAGCCTCAGGTAAACCCCGTGCCTTTCCAAGGATGCATAACAGGCCCCCGAGAACAAAGGTGCGGACACTTGGGCCAAAATGGCTACAGAACTACACCTCCCTCTCTCTGAGTCTTTCGTCAGGGCTGTGGGTGAGGGAAGCTCCCCCACCCGCGACCGCGTCGGCCCCCGCCTGTTGCGGGAATGGTGAAGTGCTCTCTGGCTATCAAGGCCACAATCTCGGAGCTATGATGTAGGATTGCACCAACAAGTTGAGAAGCCCAAAATGAGAGGCAGTACGCTGCACGACGTTTACCTTGTGTGCCTTGGCGATCGCTTGGATGCAGTATGCCATAAAGGAAAAAGGCATCCAGTCTCCCCTGGGCGCAGCCTTCACGCGGATGAGGAAACACTTTCAATTCACAGAGCCAATCACTCACAAGTAGGATTCTAAAGTGAGCGCTGCTTGCCAAGAGTTTGTTGTGGCATCCAGGAGAGCATTGCAGCCAAGGCAATCCTGCGTCAATCTTCGGATATATGCCAAGTTCGACACGGGCAGCAACACCAAACGAGACAAAGGATGGATGCAAAGACTAAAACGGCCGGCTTAACTCGGATCGGCGTGTTTTTAAAGCAACATAGTGTGGTCGTTACCCTATGAGCCGAGTCCGACAGGGGCAGCAACTAGGAACAAAATATCAACATCAAAAGGCATAAGTAACAGTGGTCAGCCAGATTTCCTCGGCTGTCATTTGTTCAGCACAGCTAGACAATGCTGGAACGGTATTCGCCTCGACATCTTTCTTCTTGGGGTTGAATGCTGCTGACAATCGGGTCAAGCAAACAGGGTTTTCTAGGAAACAACACTAGGCGCATGTGGTCAAGTTAACTACTGTTCTAAAGGAGCCGTAGGAAGCAAGCTGGCCTAGGGGTTGTCCTTGAGGGTGCATTGCAGGGGGTTTTCCCCTTTCTGAAAAGCACTTGTCATCCTAGATCAGAGTCACTGGTGTCAGCGAGGGCAGCCTCTCAGATGGTACTGTTGTCTCCGTCGTCGAAAACTGCGTGTAATCAGCGTCGACGATGTGAGCTGCTTCTCGGCAGTGACTCCGGGCTGCTGGAGGCCGGCCAGGTGGGTGGACAGTCACTCCATGTTCGGCTCTCGGGCCTCTGCTTCCGGTGCAGCTGCACCATTGTCCAGGTTGTCTGATAAGACAATGGGTTCGCCCCACAGCGAGCTTGTCCACTTCTTGCAAGGTGACGGCCACCTCCTGTTCCATGAAAGGTAACACGCTTTCCAGAATTTGCTGCGCCCTGAGGCCCTGACAACCTGGTACGGGGTCGCTTCGGTCTCCCCGCTGCGGGCACGGTTCTGTGAATGGAGTGCAGAATCGTGTAGGCGATCTTGGGCAGGAGCGCGGCCTTGAAGTACTCCCCCAGGCGGTGGTTGAGCAGGTGGAGCGCGTTCAACTGGGCTTTCCACGAAGACGGGGCGGTTGTCGCTCCCGCTCGGTTGTTCTGTTCGCCTCCTCTTTGGGGATGGACTCCCCGCGCCGGCGTCGCCATGGAACTTTGTCTGGATCCACGCAAGGAGCTCGTCCATGTTGATTGCAGCGTTAAGTAGCCGCCAGGGCTGATTTGATGGATTCATCCATTGATGCGATGCCGGAGGACTTGCAACCGAACATCCCCCCTACCTATGACCATGAACTCCGAACGCCCGGCCTCTGCACGTCTGAGGCTGCTACAGGTGCTGGGCTCCGACTCGCAACATATTGCCGCTTGCACAGCTCGCACGTGGCACTTGTTCCCCCTGTTGTCCCCACAAACAAGCGAAACTACAAACTAGCTCCTACTCAACTCTTTCGGGGCCCGTCCCCCTCTGTTCAAAAGCCCGCGGGATGAAGTTCCTGCAGTAACGAGGTCGCGCACAGCGAAAGACTTAGCTCAAACTCGCCCTTCTCAAGTATGGCGTGGAATCGTATGGCAGTAGTGGGGCCACTAAAGCAACACGGCAGCGGCGTGTGGTCTCAAGCACCTCTGGAAGGCTCCCCTGGAGGTACAGTCCAGGTCAACCCCCTGCCTCCCCCCCGTACTTGAGCCAAAACGGCTACAGTACTGCTCTCTCTCTCTCTCTCTGTGTCTCTCTCTCTCTCTCTCTACATTACCAGGTGTGGAGCCCGGGGCCTCGGGTGTCTGACTTTTTCCCTTCGAGGATTTTCCTCTGAGGGGCACTGCTGTACTTGTAAAGGCATTTCCTCCCGCCTCCAGCAGTAGGTGTTGAGTTATCACAAACACACAACAACGATACTACTGACACTGTTTGACAAAACTGTGCACAGCTGTGGACGGGCTGGGGCGACTGCTGTTCCTTGGCAACAACAAGTAATTGCGAAAGGTTTTAAGATCACCATCTCTCTCTCTCTGGGGCCAAGCAGGCAACAAGTACACACACACACACAACGAACAGACTCTCTCACACACACACACATGTATGTATACATAGACACATTACATACATACATACATACATACATACATACGTACGTACATACGTACATACATACATACATACATACATACATACATACATAGACATGTCCCAAAACTTGGCACCAATAGACCAAGGATCCTCAACTCAACTCTTGGAAGGTACTGTAGGTACAGGACAGGTTGGTGTTGCACGACCACACTATGCATCTCCACCTGCTATGCCATCGCTATGCCGCTATGCCTCTACCCGCTACCCCTCCTTGGAACCCCTGTGGTGCATCCCGCAACCTTCCGCCCCTCAGATGCAAAAACTGACTGGCTCACCCGGAAGCCCATCGAGATGAAGTCGCCACGAAGCAAGCTGGCTGGACCGTCAGCCGCACGAAAGTTGTGTTCCTGCAGTGACAGTAGTTTCTCCACGTATCTGGTCATCAACTGAGGGCTTCGCAGAAATCCGATGTTCCAGTTCGCGATGCGGTTGATGAGCTGTTGCCTCAGACCAATACTTTCACAAAGAAGTGTCGTAGGCACCTCGGAAGAGAAAGCCACAGCCGCAGCTTTCCTGCTTTGACCCTGCTTCTCTCAGGCCATATGCAGAGATTGCAAGGTTTTGTGTGCCATCGCCTACTGGTGAAAATTGCAGCAGTGGTCGGGCATCGGTCGCCAGCTGGAGCGTCATCCATTTCCGGGGCTAGTCAGCTAGTCCATTCGGCAGCTGAATTATTACACACTCCTCAGCGGATTTCGGCGTCCATGACCAGCGTCCTGCCATCAAAATGAACCAACACCCTTTGTGNNATCTGATGAGCGTGCAATTAAGCACCATAGCCCGACGTTCATCCCTCATCGCCAGTCCTTTCTACCAAAACTGCCCAATCAAGTAACCACTGTGGGTCTTACCGTCTTGCCCATGTAAAACTTTTGAGAATAGGTCGAAGACAACGCGCCCCGATTCCTCTACTCAGTCGCCCTACCTGAAAAAACTGTTCAACGCTAGCTATCCTGAGGGAAACTTCGGAGCGAACCAGCTACTAGATGGCTCAATTAGTCTTTCGCCCCTTTACCCACGTATGACGAACGATTTGCAATTCAGAAGCTGCGGGCCGCAGCTTCTGCTGGTCTCGCCAGCGCCTTTTGGGGAAAGAGTGGCTAAGAGTGGAGGGCCCCGGCCGAAGGCCATCTTCAAGTTTTGGTGAGGAGGTGCCAAAAGAACGTCGCAGATTTTGCTGCTCAGCTGCACCTCCTTCACTCTGGCGTCGGATATCGTCGGATCGTCGTGAAGCCCCTACATTTTCTTAATTCTCCTGAAAGACCCGTCGCAGCCTGCTCTTGCCTGCTGGCTAGAAGGACCAAAACTTGTCCCTTCACAGTCTCCGAGATCCCGACGAATTGTTGGCACTGTTACAGCCGGCATCGCTTTCCCAACTGCCTCCGGATGCCGTCTGCTCAGCACATGTAGGGTTGTTGTAGAGCCTCACGGAAAGCACGCTCACCGACGCATGTGCCAAAAGCATCCGACCAAGTTCTCGACCCGACAATCGCTGCTTCCTTAGATGTATTCAACCTAATTCAACTGACCTCGACCCTGGTGCAGATGCAAAGAGATGAGGCAATGCCATCGCAACACCTATGACCTATGCATACCTATGCTTGCAAACCGAAGACCTTGAGGTGCTGCGGAGTATACAGCTGGGCCAACCTGCATCTGCGCATACTGAATTCACATGCGACCTCTGCGACCTAACCCGTTCTGTTTGCATGGCCAGACCGGAACTACAGCTCTGAAGAACAGAACACTGCCAAGTTTCGGCCCAAGGCTTGACATCAGCGAATGTGTGGATGCTGTCGAAGCTCTGCAAGGGCACGAAGCGAGCGTGCAGGAAAAGAGATTGCCGCGCTCGTGCGGAGTCCTTGAGGTTGTCGTCCGTGGAGAACATGACGTCCAAGGCACTTTCTTGCAGCGTGGCCTCCGACAAACAACTGCTTTCCGAGTAAATAACGGAACTAAGATGCCACACCTTGGATGCAAGAAAGCTGTCAACACCTCGACCCTGCAAGGTCATTAAGGTGATCCACACCTGAGTGAGGACATTCGGATCCATTCGCAGAGACCCCAAGCCCCAAGCCACCAGGAAGTACTGAGACCATGACGGCCATGAAAACCTCGGCAAGGGAAGAACAGTAGTTCTCAAAGAGCTACTGTACGCAACTTCAACCACCTTCTGAGCCGACCCGCGAGCCACACTTCGTGCCTATCCTTAAAAGACCTGTAGGCCATGCATGGCCGCTGCGCAAGGGTCTCCACTACATGCAGTGCTATGTTCGGTCATGGTAGCTTGCGGTATTTTGGGGTGAAATGACAGACTGAGCTGAGATATTGGCGATCATGCTTGTGAAGCCCACCAGATTCCTTCGCAGCTGCTGCTCTGGATCATGTTGAACCTGGCTTGCAAGAGAGTTCGCGATCCCTCGTTCGCAAGGAACAGGCATTGCCAGTGTGAGCATTATTTCATGTTCTACAACAGCGCCGAACACAACATCTCAGCGCAACGTGGGTGATGCTGCTGGCTGCCCCATTTACTCAAATGTTGGAACCCTCGCCAAAACTTACTTGAGAGCCACCGGCTGGGACGAAAGCTCTAGCATGAGCAGGGCTGGCGACATGGAGCTGAAGTGAATTTCGGTTGCGGTCACGTTCGCCAAGCGCAAACAAGGACACTGACAAATGCCAAGTTTGAGC